GAAATTTAAGGTTTTCAGTTTGATGCTGTTCAGTAAGTTGGTGCTGAGAACCATTGGAGAGAATAAAAAAAGAACACAAACAACAGAGAAAAGATTTAAATTCAGGACTTCAGTCCAATACTGTTATCCTTCAACTCATCTGAACTATAAATATACTGTGAAGTTAAAGTAAAAACAGAATCATTTCAGGTAAAACACAAACAGCATTAACAGGATGGAGCTTCATGTTTCATGTTTAATACATTGTTGTTATCACTTTTGTTGACAGTAAAATTGTTTCTGTACTTTTTATTTGTTCATGTGTGCTAAAAAAGCAAAGTAAGAAAAGTAGTTGGACTGATATTTACACTCGTGTCTATTTTTAATGCAACATCAAAACAGCAGAAACCTCAGCGAGAAGAACTCTGACTCACATAAAGATTCATCAGTTTGTGACGTTCAGAATACAACTAATCAGCACAGCTGCAGATTCTGTGTTATCAATGTGTGCTTTATGAGAGAAACTGGATTTTGTTTTCTTGGATTTTTCAGTATCACCTCATCAGTGAACTTCCTCTCACAAAGACTCCAAGATCTTGGTCAGGTTTATGTTCCCAATCCAAAATTTTGCTTTTTTACCCCCCTCTTTTTAAAATGTTTATTTCTGCTCCGTTGCCTGAATTTGCCATCACCTAGATGTGTTCATGTGTTTATTTCTGAGCAGACGTTAAAGTTTGTCTTTCATTGGAAAGCTCTTGTGTACTCTTTGATTATTGCACCTGATCACATGCTCTCAGAAATTAGGCAGCATATCAGTTTTTTAGACCCTTCATTTCAGTCGAGTCTCAGAAACTTAGGTGTTGTATCTGACAGTTCAATGTCTCTTGAGAAACACTCTAAACAACTTGTCCGGAACTGTTTTTATCATTTAAGAAACATTTCTAAACTCAGACTGCTGGTGTCAAAGGCAGAACTTGAGATGATTATTCATGTTTTTATCTCTTCTCGTTTGGATTATTGTAACGGTCTTTTTACGTGT